GTGGACACAGCCTCTATGCCCACTTCCAATAAGGAAGGAGCTCCTTTGCCTATATCTCAGGATACTCTCCTAGAGCTACCATGCCCAGAAATTCCCCCGCCCCATTACCCATGGAAGGAGTTACTCTCTCCCCCCCCAAGTAACCATCCCTCCTCTTCCCCTGCTAACGTGCCCCTCCCTCCTAGACCGCCCTCCTTAAAGCCTCACCCACCTTTGTCCACACTTCTGGTTAACGTTGGCCCCGATGTGGCGCAGCGTCCATAGCTGTGCACCCCACTTGTTGACCTCGTTTTTATCCTCAAGGCAGCTGAGCAATCAGGACCTGACTCCCCATATTTCGAACAGGTTCTTCACCAGTGGTCCTTACATTTACAAACCCACTATGATTGGTATAGCTTACTAAAGGCAGTCTTAGAACCCTCAGTCTTTCTAAACTGGCGCACAGCCTATGACGATCAGGCTGAAAGCCAGGCATGCCTAAATCTCCAATATGGCCTCAACATTATGTTGGACATGCTCATGGGATGTGGACAATATACTGACCCCATCTCCCAGTCTACTATTGGCCTCCATGCCTATTTTCAACAAGTTTCTGACTTGGCCTTTAAGGCCCTTAAATGTTGCTGCCCCCATGACCCACAGGTCTTTTTCCGTAATTTGATTCAACAGTCAGGGGAGTCCTTCATGGACTTCCTTACCCGTGTCACCGAGGCAGTAGAGTGGAGGGTAGAGTCTGGACCCACTCAAAGGGTGTTTATCAAACAATTAACTTGGGAGGGACTAAACATCCCTACTTTTAATGCTATCGCGCCTGTCCATAATGATAACATTCACAAACGGGTACTTGCTACTAGAGACTTAGACCCTAGGGCAGGCCCTACTGAGGCTTTGACCACCTGCTTGGAAGGAAAACCCAACCACTTTAGTGCACAGGAAGGCTGCTGGAACTATGGGGGGCTTGGCCACTTTTGTAGCCACTGCCCAAGAGATACAGCCCGCCCCAAGACTCACTTCCCAAGTGCAAAAGAGGGTTCTATTGGGCTAAAGACTGTAAGTCACAGCCTCAACTGGACTCGGCTCCTTTAAACTCCTCCTGGGGCGCCCCTCAGCCCCGCCCACAAGAGGGGAAATGAGACAGATATTATGGACTCTCCCAATCCTCAACCACTCCCCACTAATGACCCTGTTCCTAGACGGAACTGCCATAAAGGGCCTAGTAGACACAGGGGCTGATGTCACCATTATATCAGAAACTGAATCCCGTAAATTCCCTCATTGGAAATACCAGCCAGGCCCACCAATAAAAGGAGTTGGAGGCACACAAGGTACCAAGCTGATCACACGTCCAGTATATTGAAAGGACTTGGATGGGAACCAGGGCACAGTTACCCCCATAGTAACGGATGTTCCCCGCAACTTCT